TTAGTACTATCTCTCTCTCTCTCTCTCTCTCTCTCTCTCTCTCTCTCTCTCTCTCTCTGGGCTGCAGATTTTTTATTGTCTTTTTTTTTCATTTATAAATTCTATATTTATTTTCTTAATTAATTCTATTTAATTATTTAATTAATTCTATTTTAATTTATTTTAAATTCTCTTATTAATTCTTTATTTCTTGAATTTCTTGCTGTTGAAATTGAGTTATGTTAAATTGAGTTGCTGTTAAATTGAGTTAAAAATTATACCTTCCTTCTAGTATTTCGACAGTCATAGCTCTCGACACGACGTCGCGGGAGGCTAAATCCTTAGCCACAGGTGCGTACTTTTCCATAAAGAACTCTCCCTTGGAATTTAAGAGTTTGCCACCTTCTCCCCGGGCGCCCTCGGTTATGAGTATGCCGCTGCTATAAATGCCTGCAAATAAAAAAAAAAAAATCAATCAATCAATTAAAAAGACTAGATAAGAGAAGATAAAGTCATCGGCAGAGATTGCAGTCGATTTTGAAAATACCAGTTGGATGAAACTGAATAAATTCCATGTCCTGCAGCGGCAATCCTGCTCGACACGCCATTGCCATCCCATCACCGGTGCAGGCGTGCGCCGCTGTGCAAGAGAGGTAACATCTTTCTGCACCACCTGTTGCAATCACCTGCAAAATGCATTAACATTTGCCAATTTTTTTTATATCAATAAATTGTCAAGAATAAATAGCAATTAAACTATATTAATAAAGACGAAAAAAGAATTAATTGTAATATGTTATATGTTAGTTTTACATATCAATTATAATAAATAATTAATATACACCATCTTGTATTATATTATTGTTTAAATAAACAGCAACAGAAGTTAAGTAGCTAATACATAATACAGATTTGGCAGTTTTTTTTTTACCGTATGATGACCCCTGAATCGGTGCAGAAGTCCGGTCTCCAATTCCCAGGCGAGAACTCCTTTGCAGCATCGGCCGTGCATGAGCAGATCGAGAGCGAAATATTCGATGTAGTAATGTACTTCGTAGCGAAGACTTTGACCGTAAAGAGTATAAAGCATTGCATGGCCAGTTCGATCGGCGACGGCGCAAGTTCGCCTAGCCTGACCGCCTGTGCCGAATTTTAAGGATTGGCCACCGAAAGCACGCTGATAGATCTTCCCATCTTCTGTACGACTGAATGGGCAGCCTACGAATTTTTTTATTTAGTTTGCACCACATATTGATATCACCAATGTTAAATTGTACATATATCTGTTAATTCATGATTTATTGGATTTACCATAATTTTCGAGTTCGTATACCGCTCGCGGCGCCTCTCTCGCGAGCAAATGTATGGCATCCTGGTCACCCAACCAGTCGGATCCTTTCACAGTATCGTACATGTGATATAACCAATTGTCTTCCTTTTTGTCGGGGAAAGCGGCATTTATACCACCCTGAGCGGCTACAGTATGCGATCTGGTTGGAAAGAGTTTCGACACCACCGCCACGCGGTACCCTTTCTTGCCGAGACCGAAAGCCGCCCTTAATCCTGCACCTCCTGCTCCTATTATCACCACGTCATAACAATGGTCTATTAAAGGATAATTCTGCGAATCAAAAACGGACATAATTAAGCAACTGATAAATAAATAGGCTGGGGGATTCGGTCCGTTATTGAGACACGTTATAATAGATTGAAAAAAATATATTAAAAGAATATTTGAATTAGCATTAAAAAATATGAGATCGAATATATTTGTATTTGTATTTGCAAATAGAAATTTAAATATGTGTAAATAAGAAAATAGATAATTATTTATTTACAAAAATAATGTATACTTTTATGTTAGAAAATTGTGAAGGAAAAAACATAAATCTTTTTTTTTCTTAATTTATATGAAGCATTTAATGATATATACTTACACTACTACTGTTATTGTTCGCACCGCATTTTGCTTTTTCCGCTGGGCTAACATTTACATGAAAACTTTGTGAATTTCTAATTGTCGCACGAGATTGTCTCATGAATCTCTAAGAAAAAATTACTATTTATTTAAAATTAAAAATAAAATGCATTTAATATTAATATCTTACAAATATTCCACATGTCGATGTTAATCGACTGATTGATCGGTGCAACATCTTGACAAATATTTGTTAGGTTTAGATGCTCTTTAACAACTGTCACTGACTAATGAATCTTTTTCGATTTTTGCATAACTCATTTGTCAAATAGTAAAACAAATGAAAATAAATTTTAATATTTTTATATATATTTAGTGTTACTTTTACATGTTAATTTTATATTTTATGTACGAAATTACTTTTGAAAACATTTCTTAGCTGATGCAAAATTAAAAAAATTAAAATAAAAAAACTTGTAATATAATATAGAAATTGTATGTGTAGTTTATAATTTCCTTTCAGGAAACTCGAGAACTGAGTCTGTTGGGTTTATGTAAGCATCGCAGTTTATTGCACTTGCAAAAATACAGTTTGGGACATACACAATTTTATATTTATTGCATACAATTAGTTTGAGATGCATTCTCCCAAGTTATATATCGACTATTTTGTAAAACGCTTGTCGCAATGTTACTCTTTAGTACATACTACGAATACCAGAGAGCGAATGTACTTGATGAGTTATTCTTATTAGAATTATTACAATGTGATTTAGTATGATAATATACGAAGTTGTAAATGTTATTTATGATGTGGTAAA